TGGTATCTAATAAATCAGTGTCGCCTTTTCCAACCACTGAGACCTTTTAGGTCTTGCCTGCCCATGTTTTCTGCCAGACCAAAAGAAAAAGAAGAGTTTGTGACTAGCAAAAAAAATGACAGATCAGGTCTGCTGCTTGTGCTGGTTGAATGCTCATTTTATTTCTTGCCCCATTAGACCACACTGCTCCAATTTAAATTGTGTCTGTGGAATCTGAAGTTTAATTTACCCAGATAGGTATTTCTTACTCCTCTTTTTATTATATTTTAGGAAGCCATCCCTTAAAAGGCCAGACATTTCAACTAGTGCTTGGCATCCTTCAGGCTAGGCAGTACCAGTGGGCACATATTCATTCTGTATAAGATTTGCATTGGAACCTCCTGTCCATTTAATATGTATATAATGTGTGTGTTTGCCTGAAGTAACAGAAACCTAAGCACATGTAACAGTAAATTGTGGTGTTGATTCACTCCAATAGACATCCTGTTTGAATGATCCATATCCTAGAGATGTTCAACCAGGGATTTGTTATTATAGAACTTAAAACTATAGCAAACATTCTATAGCTAAAAATAAGCATAATAGTATTCTATTACATCTGTCAGTTCTAGTAAGCTGTGATGAAAGATCTTTTTGTAACCATAGCAACAGTATTTGCCAGATATTTTATAATGCAATAATTACTTTAGAAGTGAGCTGCTGAAACTTTCAATCCTCTGATATTTATACTTTACCTTGAATCAGTGCTGAGACTCTCTTCAAATGATGCAGATAGCTTTTACCTCTCTCTGTGTTTTTGGTTGAACTGCTAGATCATTAGTCAGAAAAATCAGTTATCTGAAAGTCAAGAAAAAGCTGTAAACCTCAAAAAGGATTTGACAGAGATGCAAGAATGGATGACTCAGGCCGAAGAAGAATATTTGGAGAGAGATTTTGAATACAAGAGTCCAGATGAGCTGGAAAATGCTGTGGATGAAATGAAGGTGAGAAAACGTGATTGTGCGAAACGTTATGTGGGTCTCTAAGTTTATGTGCATATTATCCATTATTAAACAAGAAATTCCTTTTTTGAATTGCTTTTGTGAGTTTTTGAATTTACTTTTTTTTTATGTTAGCTTTAGAAAACCCTGAGTGAATAATAGAAATGGGTGTGGTGTGATGTTGGAAAGTAGCTTAGGTTTCAGGAAATGATCTTTTATAAGGCTTTGTGAAAATGAAGCAAAATGAAAAAAAAAGAACTGTGAACCTCTGTGTCTAAACCTTTTTTGGAAGGGAGAACGGGATATGAATTATGAAATACTGGAACTAATCAGTGGTGGTGGAGGAGATCCTATGTAATTGTGAGAAGTGGATCTTACTTGGTCTGGCACTATTTGCTTATCTTGGCCTAATGGTCTGGGACTATTGCTGGAGTTTCAGGGGCTGGCAGAGGAAGAAGTTGTAGATCTTGCTATGTAGCGGGATTAGGGACAGAAGGGGTTGAAACTATATGTTTTCAGAGTGCAGAACTGAATACAGAGTTAGCATAGTTGATGAGGGAACTTTGCACTCTCAAACTGAGAGGGGGCATAGGATTCACTGTAAGTAGGTGCATTTTCCTTTTTCTACCACCACCACTTTCATCCAAACTTGTGTCATGATTTAGTTTTTTGTCAGATATTTTTAATTGCAGTGTCATGTTGGTATTTCAGCTCTGTGACAGAATTGGAAATAAGACATGAGATGGGAGGACCACCGTAACAAACATATTTTATGTGGCTACTCACCTGGGAAATGTTTTATTGAATTGCTTAAAAATGCTATGAATGTAAAGGATTTTTCTATAGTGTTGTTTTTGCAATTTCTGTAACACTGTTTTGGTAAAAATATTAATGAATTGAAACGGCAATAGTCTGGCTATGAAAGATAGATCATGTTCAAAGAAACGTCTTTGCACATTATGAAATCTCATGCAATAATAAATTATTTCAGGTGCTACAAGAGTCTTTGTTGTGTTAGAAATCATGTCATTTGACAGCATGGTGAACATGACAGCATGATGTGATAAATAATACAACAGAGCGTCAAGTGAAACTTCATGGAGCACAATGGTTCTGTTCCTGCCAGCTTCTATAATGAAATATTGAAAAAAATTGAATGAGTAGAAACCTCCACTTGTATACTAAAGACTAAGACTTTGTAATTGTCTTTGTCAGTAACCATTTGATCAGCAATCACTTTCTTTGGGCAGAGAGCAAAAGAGGATGTGCTACAGAAAGAAGTGCGGGTGAAAATTCTGAAAGACAACATTAAGATGTTAGCTGCTAAACTGCCATCTGGTGGTCAGGACTTAACAACTGAGCTTAACCTTGTATTGGAGAACTACCAGCTACTGTGCAACAGAATCCGGGGGAAATGCCACACTTTGGAGGTATTGCCGAATAATCTAACCACAGCAGAAATGTTTCATATGTCTGTGATATATTGAGCAATAGGAAATGCCAGTACATCATTGAAACGCCGAAAAACTAGGAAACTTGAAAACATGAAAACTTTTATTTAATGTGACCATAATTTCTGTATTAAATGATACTTGAGGTCAGATGTGACCATGTGTACATCTGCAAAGCATTTCAGATAATACTTCTCTACACATGCTTTAGTTCAGGCTTCCTCAACCTCTGCCCTCCAGATGTTTTGAGACTACAATTCCCATCATCCCTGACCACTGGTCCTGCTAGCTAGGGATCTTGGGAGTTGTAGTCCCAAAACATCTGGAGGGCTGAGGTTGAGGAAGCCTGCTCTAGTTGCCCCAAAGGGAGACACTGACTTGCTTTGGAAAATCATATCTCACCTTAACAAGTGAATGGTTTAAGATCATACTGTATTCAAAAATGAACATTCATGGTTTCCTGGTTTGGATGAAATTGGAAAACTATGCTTAGAGATTTTTTTTTTTTAATTTTTTTTATTGATTTTACAGAGAAGTTTTAGACAATACAAACAAATAAAAAGACATACAAACATGTATAGTTTCATAACCTTTTTTTCATATCCCTCTCTTCTCGGACTCCCCCAAACCTCCCCTTCCTACATCCCAATTTCCAAAATTATTTCAGCAAATTCTAGATAATTTTATCAAATATATTTTTTCTTATTCTTTTCTTCAACTTAATCTTATGTCGCTGTAATCTCCTTTTCTTTCTCCAAACCTCGACATTTTAACATTCCTCAATTTTATAATAGTTCTTAAGATAAATTTTAAATTTCTTCCAATCTTCTTTCGCCGTCTCTTTCCCCTGCTCACGGATTCTGCCAGTCATCTCAGCCAATGTCATATAGTCTATCACCTTCATCTGCCACTCTTCCAAGGTGGGTAGTTCTTCTGTCTTCCAATACTTTGCGATGAGTATTCTTGCTGCTGTCGTAGCATACATAAAAAAAGTTCTATCTTTCTTTAACACCAATTGGCCGGCAATGCCCAAGAGAAAGGCTTCTGGTTTCTTCGGGAAAGTACATTTAAGTACCTTTTTCATTTCATTATATATCATTTCCCAGAAAGCCTTAATCTTCGGGCACGTCCACCAAAGGTGATAGAAAGTACCTTCAGTTTCTTTACACTTCCAACACTTATTATCAGGCAAATGATAAATTTTTGCTAGCTTGACTGGAGTCATGTACCACCTATAGATCATTTTCATAATATTTTCCTTTAAGGCATTACATGCCGTAAATTTTATACCTGTGTTCCACAACCATTCCCAGTCAGCAAACATAATGTTATGACCAATGTCCTGTGCCCACTTAATCATAGCTGATTTAACTATTTCATCTTGTGTATTCCATTTCAGCAGCAGATTATACATTCTTGACAAGTTCTTAGTATTGGGTTCTAACAGTTCAGTTTCTAATTTTGATTTCTCCACCTGGAAGCCAATTTTCCTGTCTTGTTTATACACCTCCATTATTTGATAATAATGGAGCCAATCTCGAACTTTGGGTTTCAATTTCTCATAACTCTGTAACTTCAACTTATCTCCATCTTGTTCCAAAATTTCCCGATACTTTAGCCATTCGGCTTCCATATTAAGCTTTTTCAACGCCGTAGCTTCCAAAGGTGACAACCATCTGGGGGTTTTACTTTCCAACAAATCTTTATATCTTATCCAAACGTTATATAATGCTTTTCTGACAATATGATTTTTGAAGGCCCTATGCACCTTAATTTTATCATACCATAAATATGCATGCCAACCAAATGTATTGTTAAAACCTTCTAAATCCAAGATATCTGTATTCTCGAGGAGCATCCATTCTTTCAGCCAGCAAAATGCTGCTGCTTCATAATACAGTTTTAAGTCCGGCAGGGCAAACCCCCCTCTTTCTTTTGCATCCATCAGTATTTTAAATTTTATTCTGGGCTTTTGCCCTGCCGGACAAATTTCGAAATATCCTTCTGCCACCTCTTGAAACAGTCTATCTTGTCAAGAATTTGTAATGTTTGAAACAAAAATAGCATTCTAGGCAATACATTCATCTTAATAACTGCAATTCGGCCTAACATTGACAATTTCAAATTTGACCATATTTCTAGATCTTTTTTAATTTCCGACCAACATTTTTCATAATTGTCTTTATACAGGTTCAAATTCTTAGATGTCAAATAAACCCCTAGGTATTTCACCTTCTTTACCACTGTCAAACCTGTTTCATTCTGAAACTTCTCCCTCTCCATGACTGTTAAATTTTTTTCCAAAACTTTAGTCTTTTGTTTATTCAATTTAAATCCGGCCACCTGACCAAATTCTTGAATTAGCTCCAACACCCTTTTTGTACTAGTGTCTGGCTCTTGTAAAGTAAGTACTAAATCATCTGCAAAGGCCCTTAACTTGTAATGTTTGGCTCCGACCTGTACACCTTTAACCTGCTGGTCATCTCTAATCATATTTAGCAACACCTCCAGAACAGTAGAT